GGACAACTTAATTTTTTTTTCTTCTAGAATTAGCATAACATCTTACTTAAAAACATGAAGTGGAAAAGCAATTAATATAATTATGGTATAATATAATTAAATTACAGTAGGTAGCACTGAATCCTCTTAAATCTCAATCTCTTCTCCATTATATCATCCCGTTCTCATTCCATTTTCTCCATTCCTCACTTTTCAAAATTTTCTTCACTGGCTTTTTCCACTCACAACCTTAAAAGGCCTTAACTACCTAATCACCATTTCATTTCTCATTGACTATTTCTCCAAAAATTAAACTGAGATTAGATGATATCCTCTTCCCAAATACCGTCCCCCTCACTTTGAATCCCTACCTTTTCTTTTAATTATTTATTATTGGACATAGATTATTCTCTCTTCTCCTAAGGCAGCACTGGTTGTTTAGTCCTGTCCTTCCCAAACCTTCCAACAATCTGTCTTTGATGCTGTCCTCAAAGAACAAAAAACATTTGAAGCTTTTTTCTACTTTCTGGTTTTGTATCATCTCCATTCTTAACTGCTTAAGGCTCTATGCTTTTAACTATATATATATATATTTGTTTGCTTGTTTGTTTTCCTGATCTATGCTTCTTTCAGCCTGGCCCATCAATTTTATGCAATTAGTGTAAATGTGTTTGTAGTACTCACTCAAGTTTGGTCTACATTAGAAAATTTGTACAAGTTAACTAAGGTAGTTCAGGAATGCGAATCTAAAGTACATTGACTTCCCTATAGAGCAATTCAAAGGTAGAATATTCTCCCTGATTCTACTGCTACCGCCTTCAGATAAGAACTCGGTTTAATGTCCTTACTACAGTTCATAAGACAGTCTAGGAAAGGCAGCATCTTAAAGGAAAAAAAAAAATTCAATCCCACAATGGGAAATTCTCACTTTGCTTTTGCAATGCTGAATATTGCATATTGAGATCAATGGAAAAAGTATCATGTCCTAAATGTGAAACAATCTGGGAGTAAACACTCAATCCAAGATACCTAATCATCTCATCACACTCCTATATATTGATTCCATCCCCTACCCTCCCCCCTGCCTCCTCTATTTCTATAACATCACTGTGACTCTTGCTCAGACCAAGATTAATTCTGTCTAAAGCGACCCTTAACATCTATTTTTTTTCATTTTTACATTTGTTCACAGCTGAATCCTGATGTCTTTTCAAAGCCCCTCAGCAACTTTCTCTGTTCATCATAAGCAGAGGTTATCATGCTATTTTTACCTTTCCATCCTTATATTATTCCTCCCATAAGTAACATACACCCTTCAAAGTCTCATCTATCAGAATTGCTCTGCATTTATACTACCACTGCTTTTAATTTGCAACTGTCTTCTCTCACTGAAATCCAACCTCTGCCTTGCTTGCTATCTATATGCAAGACACTTTACACAGTTCTGTAAAGCATTATCTCATTATTCTGTCTCTCACTGTTGAGCATTTTCAGACCCTCTGTGTGAAAGATGAGATATAAAAATAAATTGAATTGGAATACATGATGCTAAGTCCTGAACTTAAACAGACTACACTCACAGTGCATATGTAATTTGACAGCTACAGGCTATACTTTCATGACATACACCAAAAGGATTAATGTAAGGGATTTAAAGTTCTAACCATTCTGGGTAGTCTGACCTAGACATTAGTCTCACAGCCGTGTAATCCTGGGTTGTTATTAACCAATTTGACATAGAAAAACTAGGGTGATTATTGCAATGATTACTTGCTAGGTAGTATGCCACAGCCAGCCTTCAAAGTTCAGCACTTCTGTAAATGTTCACATCTCCTGTCCACCATAACCACGTAGTAGCCATGTTAGCTGACTTCATTAATACAATACAAGAAAGCATTTGTAAGACATAGATTTCTGTCAAACAAAAATAAAAACAGAATGTTTTGGAACATTTCTAAAAAGGAGAGCTGTGTAGTACAGAACTTTGGGTGTTGACTTTGATAAAGCTGGACTAGGTAAGGGAGGAAGTGTTAGTTAACGTTTTCATTCCAAGGAGGAAAGAGAAACCGAAAATGAAACCTGGCACAAAGAAAAGGCAAAGCTCCATCTGACAGAATCTCAAAAAATCCACAGAATTTTCTCCTCTGCTTCTTTTTTCCATTGGTGTTTCAACTAATTAAAATAAGGGCAGATAAAAAACTTCATGCATTCATCCCTTTAAATATAAGAACAGTATTATATTTTATATCAATATTTACAGATTTAATATTTATAATTGTTTCACATTGAGGAAAAACAATAAAAAATAGATCAATAGAAGTCATTCCAATTGCTCTAACTTTAGCTAGCTCTCTGTGCAAAAGCTGTGGTTTTGCAACTGCACTCCTCCACGTGGTTTTTAATCACAAAATATAATAGTTAACTTATCAAGAACAAATAATGAACGTGTCATACCTTAACTTTTTTCTTGAAATAAGAATAAAGAAATCATTATGATTTCTTTACTCTCAGAATTAAATCAGAAACGTCTACTGTGTTTTATATTTATTTCAATTAACTATAAATAAAAGTTTAAACTAAGATCTTAAATTGTGGTCATAAGTCTCAGATACCAGCTAAGACCTTTGCAAATGTTCAGTTACACACCCATCTTGTCCTGTAGAGGCCCTGATAATGATTCACTTACATGCCTGTCTATTAGTCTGCTAAAATTCAAGCACTGAGATCCACATTAATTCTTGAGTATAGGGATAATTATTTTGAATGCAATATAGCTCAGAAACACAGCCACACAAAAATGTTATTCTTAAACACTATAAAGAAACAGTATTAAAAAAGCCTGTATGTTTCTCTTAGTAGAGCTGTGGATGCACATACTTCCTCAAACCAATCAGCCTTATGAATCTAATGACATACTGTGCATGATCTGTTCCGTTGTTTAATGAACATCAAAAAGTACAGCTGAGAGTTATTCCATTTCAGGATTTAGATCATAAAATACAGGATATTTTTACACAAGACACAACCTTCCATTTCAACTCTTTTGCTTACTCAATACAACATGAGAAAATGCTTTTTTGTTTGTTTGTTTTGTTTCATCCCTCCCCAACACACTCCAGTAAAATAATATTGGTAAAGCTATCTAATAATATAGGAGGAATTTAGCTAAGAGCAACAGCTTTTTTGAAGTGGATTCAGTCCTTTCACTGAATCTCCAGTAAAAATAATTTAACTCAGGTAAAACTTGACATTTTCCCACAAGCCTTCATTTAGAAGCTATTTACCCACAAGCATAGATTTGAAAACCTCATAGTATATATTGAACAATCCAAAAGAGAAAAAAGTGCTTAAAAAAGAAACAAAGATTATTTATAAGCTGCAAAGTAGAAACATTCTAGGAATATTTATTGTAATTATCAGCCAATTTTATATTTCAATGATCTAGCTTTAAATTAGAGAGAAGCATAAAACATGCTATAAAGAAGCAATTCCATTTATTCCACTAATAAGTTGCAACCTGTTTCATTTTACAAGCATGCACATAAATGTATTCAGTTAGCATGAATTATATATGCATGCCTGAATGTTCATGAACCATTCCTAATGGCTTTAGGTTATTGCAAATCTGATATTCCAAAAGTAAGTTATCCATAAGTATGTATGGAAGCAGCAAATTCTGTGCCCTGTGCCTTGTCTGTTTCTGCTTAAGGGTGCCGAGAAAAAGCAATGTGAAACTTGAATTCTGGTCCTGCAAATGGGTGGTCTTTTAGTTTGCCCAAGGGCTGCTCTATGCTGGATAGAATCCTGTCTTCAGAGTCACAAGCACCACTGACAGACTTGTCCTGCCTGCTGGATTTCCATAACCATCTGATTGCTTCCCAGAGAGAGATGAAAGAATCTGGGGACACTTAGATAAGGAGGAAAGACGGTCCAGGAAATGAACATGATAAAAGTGCACTATGCTGCTTGTACAAATTGTATTAAAATATACCTGGGATTTCTAAATAATGAAGCACAACCTGAAGCAGCTAGTTTCTAGACAATATATTAGTATTATCATCATCCCTTTAAAAATTCTGGCTCATTTGTTTTGTAGCTTGAGTGCTGAAAAGAGAAAGTTCAATAAAATTCACCTCTGAAATGAACACTCAAGCAAGAATATACACATTCCTGGTCCTCTACAATGACTTGGCAGGTAACCATAGCCTTCGGTGTTTGCTCTGTGTTCCAAACATCTTTCTCAGTCTGACCATCCACAGAGCGACTCTATTCCCCAAGAAGCTAGATTGACGAAAAAAGTGTTCACAGGTAGTACAAACCAGGAGAATACTATTTAACAATATCAGTACTAAACAATGGCAAACTAACCTAGATGGTATGTAGAAACTGTAAGTGAAGGAAAACAGGAATGGTGGTAAATGACCTGGATTTCCATTCACACTGCTGCAAAGCCATCTCCTCCCAGGAGGAACATCCCTGCTCCTGAACATCTCCCTCCTTTCCACAGGAGGAGGTCAGCAAGCCTCGGCTCTCACTCTCCTCACAGCCCAGACACTTGCTGTATTGTCCAGTGATCAACTACTGTTCCCAGAAGCAAGGTGACAGGAGGGTAAGACTTCTGTCAGAGACACTTCTCTGACTCAAAGTATTTCTGTACCTTGACCTGGAGTCAGAGCCTCCCTGTTTGCATTTAATATTTCACACGCTGATGGGATGAACAGCAGAGTGGTTTCTCAAAGCTAAGAAACACCCACTCACTCTAAGACAATGATGAATACAGATGTTGAACTCAAAAATTGCTAAACAAGCAATTCACATGACAATCCTCCTAGTGCTCACAGAAAACCACACCACAGGGAGCGTCCTACTTTTAGAATCCTCCCTGTGCAAGAGAGGTGCTTGCTTAGGGCTTGTCCACACAATATTTTATCATTGCTTAAAAAAAATGGAATATCCATATAGAATAGACTATGGGAGCTGCTATTATAACCAAAAACCAATACACTTCCTTTAAAAAACAATTCATAGTCTAATTCCTTTATTAAAAAATACATAAACAGCCTTGATCCTACCATACAGCTTGTCACAAGCCAAAGCAGGAATTTGAATTATGCAAAAGAAGATTTGTCTGACTGGTGTGTGGGTGTGACTAAGAGGACAGCAGAAACACCACAGACAAACAGATTTTTATAAAGGATATCCAGATGCAGGCTGGGCAAATGTGGGATGCGGCACTGAGAAAATCCTAGACAGAGCTTTTGGGTCTGAGTACCAGCTGAAAACAATCTCCTGTTGTTTGATCCTCCTATGCTCAAGGAAAAGGTGCTTGGCACATCTCTATAAGTAAACAGGATTTCATGAAAGACTTTTGTCTCCAACATCAAATTCTCCCAACTGGAACAAACTTGTCAGGCTGGCTGCTTGACTAACTCAGAAACAGTTACAATGGATTTTCGAAAAGCCTTCCAGTGTTCTTATTAACAACACCCTGTCAATTAGGTGGTCACTTTGCCTTAGCAGATCAAAAAAATAGTTTCAAATTACATTTTTTTTTTTTACAGGAAGCAGTAAAAACACACATTCTGAAAGCAACCATAAAGTTTGATAAGCCATTACACTAAAAAATATTTCTGGGGGCTAATCCATGCTGATGACTCAAGACATACAATCACTTTCCTAAAATCCTGATTTTTAGCACTGTGAACAACTGCACAGCTGTGGGATATGCTGACTCCGGTATTAAGTATCATGAACATTTAACACAAGATCAGAGTTGTAATCAAGCAGCTATCTATACATTCAAAGTAATTCTACTGGTCTAAAGCACAATCTCTCCTTTCTTTGAGGAACTTGGATGTAGGACAGATCCACAGCTATACTCTGAGGCAAAGCCTGTGATGCCTCCAGGTAACATAATGAATTATACAGCCAGAACTCTGAATTTATTGATCACTTAATGTGAAAAAAAAAAAAAAAAACAAGCATATTTAAGACCATGGACTTTACCTGACAGGCCAACTTGCGAAATACATTGGCAGATGTGTTTTATTATATGGAGAATTTCTCCAGCCATCTAGCTGCTATTTTTAATCATTGCAACATGTATATGAATGAAGACAAATAAAAGAATTATTATCAGCAACATTTACTCCTGGGAGAAGACTTGGCTCTACTCATTTTCAGACAAAACACGCGACTAAAACATCAGCAATTGCAGTGCCAACTTCACCAGCTTATGAACAGGGCAAGACAGGCAATGCCTGGCTGCACAGTACCAAAGGTTCACTGAATTCATTTCCAGCCTCCAGCCAGGCCCGTGATCAGATGCTCTGAAGGATAGGATGAGTATCCTGGTTAATTTGCTTCCTTGTTAAATCTCATCTGCGTGTCAAGCGATAGCCAAGAGAGTGGCAGTGCCCATGCTGTACCTACCTTTTCTGACAGGCAGGCAAGGTCCTCATTCCACTTTGCAATGGCTGAGCTGGACTCTACTTCACACAGCCGCACACATTCCTTCCTTTTTCTCAGCTTCATATTTCTATTTGATTTCATTGACTCTACAGAAATGCAGCCAACTTTTCTGCCAGTTTTAATGGATTTCACCCTGAAATCAATAGAAAAATGCCCATCTATAATAGCAGCTAATTTAGTTCCTAATCTGTATTATGCCAGACAGGAAGTTTTTTTGGCTCTCTTACTTTGAGGGAAACAGTCAGAAACACAGAAACGAAAAAGGGCAAGATTTATCTAGGAGGTGGCAGCAGCTAAACTGCTTCGACTAATGCAGCTGCTGACATTTCCAGCCATTCAGTGCATTCCTCCCTAGGGAGAATAAAGCTGAAAGAAACTACTTAGTATGAAACTACTGGATGTCCATTAAAAATCATTCTAGTGGTAAAGATGAAGAGACTCATTGGCAAAATACCCCTTGTATAAATCTAAAAACAACATTAAAAGCCATCCAAAAAGCAGGCAGTTAAATAGATTCTTTCACACTGAGAAACAGCAGTACAGGAGACTAAAATGGATTCTGGAGAAAAAAAAAATTACTTTTGATTTAAACCACTGATAAAGAGATTTCCCAGTCAATGTCTGTGCAATGCTGAAGAGAATGATTTTTTTTTTTCCACAAAGCCCCAAGAGATGTTAGAAAATATGATTCAAAGAAGAGCTTTAGAAGCAGAATTCAAAGAATTTGGGGGGGATGGTAGACCACTTTCTTGTATTACCAGCTGTTATGCAGGGTAACAAAGAAAAAAAGAGCTTTACTCTAATGAAGAATGGGATTTAAAGGTTCTCTCTCTCTACTCAAACAGTACAGAAATTCTGGGGTGTTAGCAACACCTGATGCAAAGGAACCTTATTAAGGAATTAATGAAGCCATGGTGATTTATACTAATTGAGAAAAAAAGTTTCCTTTAGCTAACCTATGAAATACAATACATAGTTTTAAGAAAGAAAGCTTTGTGAGGTAGCTGCAATGGCTTTATCTTACTCCAGTGAATGGGAACATACCATATGTCTCCCTGGGCATGACACTCTATACTGGTTTTGGCTGGGATACAGTTAATTTTCTTCATAGTAGTTTCTATGGTGTTGTGCATGGGAACATTTTGCAGTAATTCTATAATCCTATTCCTTTACACACTGAACACTTCTATATGGTAACCCCTCAGGATGCAAATCAAGGTCAGTGCTTCAGTGCTCCAGTCTTTGTATAAAACTAACAATTTCTACCCCCTAGAGCTCCAAGCTAAGCAAGCATACCTATGTCCTAGTCTTTCTTGAAGCATAGCTCTGGGAATGGGCTAACGTTGCATGGAATAGGAATGGAAAAGTGCCCCACAGCAGTCCTATTTTGCCTTCAAAACAAATACATCAGTCAAATCCTCAATTTCTTTGTTATCTCCTCCTCTAGATACTATAAACACACAAGCGAGGTGATACATCCCCTGATTTAACCAAATTTTCCAAGGGCATGTTTTTATGCTTTGCTCACTGACCTCCAGCTCATTTGAGTTCACTGCATATAGTCAGGTTGTATGAACCATACATCTTCAATTTAAAACTTCTATTTAATATTCACTTCTGTTCACCACCTCCATAACTGGACCGAAAATCAAGTCTTTTACCTCATTATAAAAGCTGGAAAGAAAGACAAGTCTTTTACCTTGTTATATAAGCCTAAAGTGAAAAGCCAAAAGAAAAAGACAAAAATCTAAGTGAGGATCTTTGTCAGCTTCTGTGAATGCCATTTAAGAAAACTGAACAGAAAGTAGATATACATGGAGAAGAGGGCTAAGGGAAACATTTCAATTCATTTTCAGCAAATCTGGTTTTCTACTTTTCTGTTGAAATGAAAGCACAAGTGGCAACAACTCCATGCCTACGCTTGTTATTGCCTACTCAAGAATCAAGTGCTCTTTCAGTCAAGACTTGATTGTTGGATAGAAAATAAACTGTCAACTGGTGAGGTTTATTATCAAGCTATGAAGTGAGAAAGGTTTGCTTGCTGCTGCTAGTTTTGGGATTTCATCAAAATGGCTCTTAGAAGCACATTCTTTTGCTGCAATCCTTGAAGTAGTTCTCTTAGAAGAATAGCATGCAACCAATGCAATGAGGTTGGAGGCAAAGAGCACCCCAGGCTTGGTTTTCTTAGTATTCTCATCCCTGTAATTGAGCCAACATGGTCCAACAGTGGAAAAATATGGGATTCCAGAAGCTTCAGTTCTCTCAGCTTTGTCAGTGACCTGTTTTTACACCATAGGAAAGTCACTTAATCTTGCCGTTCGTCAATTTTCCCATCTGTAAGACACGACTGATATTACCCTTCTAATGACACACTAGGAGGTCTTAGATGATGTCTATTTACACAAGTGAACTTGCAACAAATTAATTTGGCATTTGATCAAACCTCATGTTCTCTTTCCCCTGCAAATTGCCTCCGAGCTGTAACCCACTTCCGTTCTCTGGGCAGCAGTTGCTCTCTTCATGTTTGTCACAGCACTCTCTCTAGAATAGGACAAATGAAGAGATTATTTCCCCCCCATCACAGCTTTTCATATCTCACCACATTTGTAGCACTATACAAATACTACAAATGTCCCTGATTTTTCCAACACTTTGCAGCTTTAAAGACTCTGCAAGGTTTCCTTACATATTCAGAAAAGACTGTACAAGAAGTGTTTTCTTTGGCTTGGCAGCTTTCCAAGATTTTCAAAAGCGAATGCTAAATGTGACTAGTAAATAATCTCTAGATAAGACCCTTCCACCCTTACAGAGGTTGGGGTGGGAAGGATGAGAGGACGATACACACCCAGTAACAAAAATAAATAAAACTAATAAAAAAGAGAAAGTATGTTTCCACACAACGCACAATCCTGCTCCTGTATAGAGGGCCCATAAAAGTGGTCATCCCCACTTTAACAGAATGACAGGAGTGAGAATACTAAAGAAAGAGTACCTGATTTCCTCTCAGGCTACCTCTCTAAGGTGCTGCAAAGGCTTAGGTTCCAATGGCCTGAAACTCTAGGATCACCCTATCGTGCAAACAGCACTACACTTACAGATCCTATAGTTTTTGGGCCAAACACCTGGAAGCTGGGTGTTCTGAGAGTTTCAGGTCAATATGAGGTTCACTCACACCAACAAAAGGTTATTATTACATTGATTCCTCAAGGATTCGCATGTTTTCCAGACTCCTGGAACACACAGCTGGCATCATGGGAAGCTAAAGAGCCCAGGAAGTCATAATACTTAACTGTTACTTTAACAGAAAGTAAAATATTCATACTTTTATTGCTTGTATTTTTAAGACTTTGGAATCCCCCTCTACCTCAGCAGGAGGGTCAAATTTTGCATATTTCATCCAAGTTGCTTGTAAACAACCCATTAAATGCACCAGTAAATACACCTGTATAACTCCAAGATTGTATGAGCAATTTTCCACAAGGATTCACTAGGGTCTACTACAAATAAAACTTTAAATGGGTACTGACAGAAATCATTTAATTTGCACCAGTGGGACTACTAACCCACATATTACTAAACATACATAGGGAAAGGCAGATACTCCCCAACAAATTACATTGAAAGGAAATGCCACCCAAACTTTAAGCTAGAGATCAGTTTGCATGCTGAATATTAAACAAAAGCTTCTTGTCCTGCTAGCAACTGTCACATGGGTATGAAATTCTTCTTAGGGCAAACCCTAGAAAAGCTACAGAAGACATACAGCATCCCACTGTGCTTGCTGCTCAGTTCTGGCTCTCTTGGCACTACTTCAGCAGGAAACTACAAACATTGCTGTTCTAAAGAAGTTAGAGCAATGAGGGCCAGAGTGAAAACTACTTTGAGTGATGTGACTAATAATTCCAAAAAGATAGTAGCAATTCCATTACATTTCACTTCTTAATTGCTAGTAGAAACAGCCTTCAATGAGACCTATACACAAGGGTCTACATATTAGTTAATAATTTTCCAAGGTTATACTAACACTAAAAAGAAACCTCCTAGATAATTAAAGGTAATTGACCTAGGTCAGTATTCTTATTAAACAGCTACAGAGAAATGCAGAAAGATAATTTGCATAGACCAGATTAACACACACATAATATGGGCCAGTAGCGATGTAGCATATGTAGAACACAATGCAGAAAAGCACACTGGGAACTAAGACACATCATTGTACCACTAGGATTTAGTCCTCTAGATTGTTTTTTATGCAAGTGCTTAAGTAACACTATAAATGAAAGAATAATAATATCATATGCAGAAATTAGAATTCTCAGAGCTAAATTGCATCCAGTCTGCAGATACTTAATGCAGACCTTTATTGTGTGGTTTAGCAAGAAGAAAGCCATACAGAGGGTTACACCAAGATTCATTTAGCCTGGTATCCTGTCTCTGATAACAGCCAAAACGGATACTTACGGAAAGGGTATGAATACAGGGCAAGCATAAGGCATGCCCTGCCAATTCTAAGCAAACCTGCAGTTTAGAAACTTCCTGAGCTGGAGGCTGGCCCCACATCAGTGTCTTTAATGGCTCTTTATGAACTATTCTTCCATGAATTTATCTAATCACTTTAAGAAACCATTTCTATTTTGGCATCTGCAACATCCTGTAGTGATAGCTTCCTTAATTTAATTATGTACTGTCTGATCATTTCACTTGGGTTTTGTATAGTGAGAAATAATAAATAATCACTATCTTTTCACTTTCTTCATATCACTTTGACTTTACGTAGCTCTAATATATCTTGCTTCCCCTGATTAGTCACCTTTCCTTGAAACTGTAAAAAATAAAACAAAAAACTAGGTTACTGAAACCTCCCTTGCACAGAAGCCATCGCATCCCTCTGATCATGTCACCTTCTCTTGCGCTTTTACAACTTCCATCACACCATTCTTTAGATGGGACGGCTGGAGTCGCTCAAAGCATTTAAAATGAGGCAGTACCATTGATTTTATTCTCACAGGGGAAAACACTAAGAACATCATTCATAACCCGTAACTCTTCTTACAGCATACCTCTTTCCCCCATACTCAATAGGCACACTATCTCTCTAGGATCTGTGTGTTCTGTCCTCAGCACTGAGGACATCATTTCTATCATCCCTTTACCTGTGCTCTGACAGCATCACATCTTTCTCTGTCTCTCTAATTTCTTTTGACCTCGCCTACTCAGCAACTTCCCTTCCCCATCTCTCTGAAGAACTGGAGGACTTATGACATCTTTCCCCATCTCCAAGGTTTGTGCACCTCCCACGTTTATGTGCTGGATAATATTTGCTGGAAAATGTTTATTGCCACCTTCCTATATCCTGCCCCACTCTGCCTTAGCTTAGCAGCTGAAGCCAGAATTTCTGCTTCAGAAGCAATCTCTTTTCAGGCATTTTAGGACAAGTTTTTGTGTATCAAAATACCACAAGGCATTTTGCCTAAAGAAGAAAAGCTAGGTAAGACATACTTGCTCAGGTATAATCCTCGCATGCATAGCTACATAAATTAGGCACATAAATTGTGAAGTCTTAAGGACTTCTCGCAATCGTAAAGGCAAAGAAGAGTTACCTTCAGGGGCAGATTCAGCTATTGGAGGGGTCAAATTACCCTTTGGAGATACTCATATCTCTTTGACTATATTGAGAATCTAGGACATTTACAATCCTAAATTTAACATCTCAGTTAAGTGAGATGACTCTGGGAATTCGTATTTCTAGGACAAAACAGTCTGGGGTTAGATGAAAACAGATGAGCAGCTAAAAATCTAAGCCAGACTCCCTCCACCCCAGTACCCTCAAACCCTACAGCCAATAGCTAAAATCTTAAAACCACTTTTTCCTAGGTAAATTTTGCACAGCTAAAGTCAGGCCATACAAGAATTGTAGTAGGCTGTGCCAAGCAAAATTCCTGGGGCATTGGTTTCTGTTGGGAATAAGTGCCAAATGGGGCAATTCATTGAAACTTCAGCTATCAGGTTTCCCTGCTGTCCCTATAAACTTTTACAAGATGGGCATTTCAAAACACTCTAGTTCACATCCAAAACACTTCCTCATGGCAAGTTTTTTTTTTTTTTTTCTCCAGCAACACACAGTTGGAGCTCCAAGAATAAGCAGCAAAGCCACCAACATCTGTAAACTGTTTTTTTTTTTGTTTTGTTTTGTTTTTTTCCCCTGAACATTACACAGTTCTTACATTTGAATTTCATTTCTTTTCTTGGTTTCTCAGTCTTCTAGTGTTACTTTAATGCAATTTCTTAGTTGTTAGCAGAACAGTTATTGCCAACTGTTTCCTTGAACCAGCCTGAGACTGACACAATAAAACCAAACCTCAATACTCTCTCTCACACAAATATGCAGAGACCAATTGGCTCTGGTTAGTGCTTGTTTCATTTTTATTTTCATTTCATTTTTTTCATCATGACTGTAAACCAAAATAAACCAAACGAAGGGAGTGAAACCACAAACAGCAACGTTCATGTAAGGCTTCAGATGAAGTCTTCAAGAAGGAAAAGACTCAGTTTCTAAGCAAGGGGAACCTAATTTCACCTGTTTCTCTATAGTCACACAATATCCTAGAATGCATTTGCTTGCAAAATTTTATCGACTAATTTTATTAAGTTCTTGTATCTTCACAGGAAAATACGAAGTGTTTCTATCTACCTGGTAATCAGAGAATGACAGGAAAAGGATGACAAGAAGACTAACCTAGTCAAAGCAGGAGTCAGGGAGCTTGCCACTGCAAAAACTTGGATTTAGTGCACAATTGTATTCCTATCCCATGTCCTATCCCACCACCGATAGCTTCTCATTTTGAAGTATTCTTTTTCAATCTGCTATTCAGAGGAGTCAAAGGAACTATCGTTCTCCTTGCTATTCCCTAAGACCCCTGGTCCCATTATACCCAAATATCAGGAAGGTACATTCTTTTCCCTTAATTTTTCTTGATAGCTTGGCAATGTTTTAATCCTTTTACTTTTTGACAAACAAAACATATTCCTCCTATAAGCCATTCTGGAAAGGGGTGTTTATGTGAAGGAATAGAACTAGAGATGGTATCTTCTGAAGTGATTGATCATTTGACCATGGGTATAAAAGTTTCCTGCCTTTATTTATTGACTTCCCCCAGTCACAACATATCCAGCTAAACAGATTTTGGACATGTCTTGATAAGTTTCCTCTGAATCAGTGTCACCTTAACACTACAGAAGTCTCATCCCTTCCAGAACAAGCACAGCAAACTAATTGCTCAGTACTCTGAGGCCCTTCTCAGAGAACACTGAAGGTCTAGGCTGAAAACACAAACTCTGACACAGTCTGATGAGCTGCTCTCCCAAGCACTCTTACCGGCACACATTCCTAGACAAATGCTGAATTCTTGGCTGAAAACAAAAGTTTGTTTTCAGCTCCATTCCCATATCTACCCTATAAAGATAGTGACTGAAGTATATTTAAGCTTAAATTTAGATTTGAAAATGCACCTTAAAAAGAACTATCAAAAAATGTGACTTTT